GCGCCTGTGGTCCCAGCTACTTGGGAGGCGGAGGCAGGAGACTCGCTTGAGCCCAGGAGTTGGAGGTTGCTGTGAACTGAAATGCCACGACACTCTACCCAGGGGGACAGCTTGAGGCTCTGTCTCAAAACAAAAACAAAAACAAAAACAAAAAACTGTTGGCTCACTCCTGAATTCTTTCTTGTGTGAAGCTAAGGACCCATCTGGACCTCAAATGGCTCCCAGCAGGGTCAGAAAGGCTAATAGTTTCATCTTTAAGATGACAAAACTGAAGTCAGAGAGGTTAAACAATCTATCTGAAATCACACAGCTGGCTAGTGGTGAGGCTGAAAATTGCATCCAGATCTGTGAGACAAGGAAGAGGTCAGGAGGGAGTGGGACAGGGAAGGCTGCCAAGACCAAATAGCAACAGAGGAGATGCACTGTCTTCCAGGGCCAGGTTGGAGGTGCAAGGGATCCTGTCACTGATGACAGTGAAGTGAGAGGGTCCCAGTCCAGCCTGGCCAGGGCCTTAGGAAGTCTGCCATAACCTGGCAAGCCCACCTGATGAGGAGGACAAGTCCTACCCCTGTACCCAGGAGAAGGCACACTGCATCACAGCCTCAAAGCCTGGACCCCACGGAGCAGCCCGCACGCCCTTCAGATGCAGGGAGAGGAAGAGGAGGAGAGAAGGTCTAAGAATTATGTTCTCCATGCAAAGCTCCAAAACCCCACAAGACTGTAAAAACCTTCCCTTCAGGGGGTTAACAAATTCAGCAGCCCAGACCTGCCTCAAGTGAGCTATACAAGGACAAGTTGGCAAGGGATTGGAGGTGGGGGGGGGTATCCCTGGGGCTAACTGGGCCCAGAGCTGGCACTTCTGAGCACCCAGAGTTTCCAGTGTCCCGGGTACAGCCCTCACCCTTCTCTATGAGCCCCCTACAAGGCACTGCTGATCAAATGTACTCACAGCCTAAAACTCACCCACACACACTCCAGGCCCTCTACACCCAGCCTTCACACCTCTCCAAGATCAGGCCTCATTCACACCTAAGGGCATGGGTCAGTCCCTTGATCCTACAGGCTGCAGTGCCACCTCCTCCTTCATTAACAGAAACTCTGTCACTTAGGGACTTCAAAAGCTGCCCCCTGACTCCAACTCCAATTTGTTTCCAAGTATACCCACAGATTGCTGCCCCTTCCGAAGCCTTGGAACAGGGCTGTTGTGCTCTCTTGCTACAGACTCTGGAGTCTAGAGGGTAAGATCCTAGTGGGGAGGGACCAAACCTCCCAGAGCCAGAGGACATTTACTGGAATCTGTGTTCATCCACTGTGCAGAGATCAGAGTGCACATCTAACGTGCAAAGACTCCTCCTGGCTGGGTCTCTCCATGACCTGTATCCTGGAGAGAACACAGAAGCCACCTGTGCTATTGCTGGCAGGCGAGGGAGAACACCCGCCCCTCCTTCAGACCGCTGTCTCCTTGCTCCCTTTAGAGCATCTGGTCACTGTTCCGGGTCGGGGGGACAGGGGCCCACGGCTGAGGGTCCCCAGTCAGCAGGGTCCAATCTCGCTTCCTACTTCTCAGGCTGTTTGGCCTCTACTCCCAGCAAGAAACTTCTCTCACTATAAAAAGGCAGCTCAGATTACTGCAGCGGGCAGGAAGTAGGAGGCCCGTGTACCGAGTCTTGAGGGGAGCCTAGGGAGATCCTTTCTTGGGGGACAAGCGACACTGACTGGGCCGTAGGGGCTCTGGGCTCTCTTTTGGGGCCCTGACCCAAGCTCGACTGGTCGGAGACCATAGGGGGCCGCTCCCACCGCGCGCGCTCCACCAGGCACTCAGAAAGCAGAGCCGGGCAGGGAACAGCCTAAAGTCCTCCGACCGGGCTCTGCACGGAAACAGGTAGCACACAAACTAGGAACTGGCACCCTCATCCCCTCCTGCTCGGACCAGAAACACCCCCCTGCCAACCCTGGGCCACCGCGCCTGGAGCCTGCTCCAACTCGGAAAGTAACAGGAGGCGAGGGCCGTGCCAAGCGGCAGCCGCAGGGAAGGGCGGGTGGTACCTGTCAGCAGTTCGATCTTGTGTCCCAGCACCTTCATCTCGGCGCCCCGCGCGGCGCGGCTGAGGCTGCGGTGTCTGGGGAGCGCTCTCGGCCCAGCCGGGAAGGAGAGCGCAGGAAACCCGGAGGGAAGCGGCAGGAAAGCCAGGAGCGAAGCAGGAGCAGCTCTCAGCCAGGAGCGCACTCGCCGCCCCCCACGCCGCGCTCCCCCCTCCAAAACGCTTTTTAAAAAATCCACCAATTGCACGGCCGCGCACCCCCAAAAGGCGCCCGCCACCACCTGGTCGGGGCGAACTCGGAGAGGCGGAGGGAGTGCGCCGGGTGGGTGCGGGCGACACTCACTGCAAGAGGGGTGCCCCCGCTGCCCGAACAAAGAGGCTGAGCCGTCCCCGGGCGTCGCTGTGGGGGAGGCGTGGGCGGCGGCTAGGCTGTGGGCCCCGGGTGTGCGGGGGGGTCCCCGCACCAAGGCCGAAAGGAGCGGATGGAGACTGGGGTGGAGTGGTGAGGAGGGGTGCCGCCCTCGCGTAGGCGAAACGTGGTACCGGCGACAAGGTGCAGGGCTCTCGAGTCTGGGGCCGGGCGC